CAGAGTGTTTTTTTTCTGATAAAAAGTCTATGGTTGCCAACTGTTCATATCTTTGCATATTCATCAGATTCCATTGATTTCTAGGGTTGTTGTGTTGTTGATAACATTACATTTAACAGTAGATTTTTAGTAGATTTTTATGGATAGGCATTGTGTCAGGGCATTAAACAATCACCTGCATCTGTTATTCCGTGAGCCTCACTGTCACGATTGCCACACACTATCTCCATTAACTTTGTAAAATGAAAACAATGTAACTTGTTATTCTTATATTTAATCTTATATTAATGTTTTAATATTTAATTATTCTGAGGGTTAAAGTGTAGCTTAAGTTCATGATAGTTCTAGCTTACAGTATTCTGCCATTTTGTTTGCATTATCGAAGAAAACTGAAGTGCTTTAAAGATAAGTGCAAATTTGAGCCTCTTTTAAGTATAGATCCAGGTGCTAATTATTTCCTAGGCTGGTTAAATAGAGTTGTTAATATGGGATATTAGGTTGTAATTAATAAGACAAGGGTCATGTTTGTTTTGAGGGTTTGACAACATAGATCTAGAGTTAGGGGCTGGTTTTTCAATAAGGAACTATTCCCACAGATATTTGGATCGATCTATCTCCCTAGGGAGTGTCACTAAATTGCTATCAACTTAACCGGCTTAAATGTGTGTCATGCCTAGTGAAGCTGTTAGAGAGTAATAATCTTTACCCCCTAGCTGATTCGGTAGGCGTGACAGACATTTAAGCCAGTTAAAATGATAGCAATTTAGTGAGACTCCCCAGGGAGTTAGACCGATCTGGATCGATCTAGGCATGGGAACCCAGTCTAAAACTCGAAATGAAAGTTAAATTTTTAACAGTCTAAAAAGATTTAGGCTTGACCCTGGTTATATATAAATAGTAGACCAACTAAATGATGCTTTGGATATGTTTTCTTAAATCTATTCAGTTCAATTTAATTCTGTACTGGAACATTCATTTCTGTAATATGACAGTGTACAATTTCTTGGAGCATAATGTGGTTCTTATACCTAGAAAGGCATAGTAACATTTTTTTCTGTTATATTCAAGTCCTATGTCATCGAAGACATCAAGTTAATCCCTCTTTTTTATTCTTTTTAGTTGGGTTATGGAGAATTTTACATATTTATCACCAAATAAATATTCAGTGATTTATCTGCTGGTTTCAGAAAATGCTCTAGATTGCTAGACGGAATGGTTAGATTGCCCATGTATAGTTATTTATGGAGATTTCTTAGAAAACATTTTAGGGAAACTGTGATAATGTCTTTTTATCTGTGAAAACAAACATTTTCTGTCTATGGTTACATATGATGTGCATTAGTCTGCATTTCAAATACTACAAATCAACAGCTATTTATTACCATCAAAGTTTGCAACATTTCCATTAACTACAGATATTGTTCTTGGTTAAAAATCAAGGGGCAATAAAAATGATAGAGATTTTTATGATGTTTTTTATTAGGCCTTAGTATAGAAAGTACAGATTCTGTGTATTCAAATGGGTATAAGTACAAGTCTGACAGTAAAGTCATGGGCACAAGTTGATGAAAAGCTGAAAAAGTATTTGGTGTACTATGATTTCCAACCATGTATCAGAGATATCAAATTTAAGTCATCACATTGCAAATAAAATTTTGAAAATTGTGTAATTGGAGGGTTTTGTTTTACTGCTATTCCTTATAAAAGATTGTGTGTGTATGGGGGGGGGGGGGGGTAGTGAGCCCATGTTTCTAAGATATCTGTGATTTATCCAAAATTGTCACTGATTAAGATTGCAAGTACGGAAATGAAAAATGTCAAACTAACAATTTGCTATTAGTTGAATTCCCTTGGCACTATTAAAGTCAAGTATTGATCATGCAAATGCATGCAGCGGATTTTGGTATGACAAAACTGCAGAAGTTTACATTGTGGAATAATGCCTCTTTCTCACCAGGCCTAATATAACTTTAATTAGACTAATTATTGACATAACTAGAAAAGAAGTTGGTGTGTAGTTTCCAAAATTGCTTAGACCTTAATTTGGATTTCCTGTTGAGTCACAAAACCTTCTGGTGATATCAGCTATTAAATTTTTTTTTCATTTTAAGTTTGTATTTTTGTGAACAAGGCCACTACAGTCATATTTATGTAGATTAAACCACCTTATTGTGGTTTTGAACATTAAAATGCCATTCTCCTCGCTCAAAGAGAATCCTGAAATATCAGTTCTGTAAATGATTTGTTGAAAGTGAACCTGTAGCTGCATAGGACTGTCAGAAGTAATGCAGGAAAACATCTGTGCTTGTCAAAGCAGTTCACAATACAATTTCAGGGATTTCATTAGTTTTTATCTCCATGTAACAGAATTTTTCATGCTTTTAGGAATGCAATTCACTGCTGTGTCAGATAGCATCAAGGGCCTGTAGATCTATTGTTTCTGCTCCATGCCATATCTTATAATTTATTGAAATTATATTGCATAATAAATTGATTGCACTTCTGAGGGAGCAGGGATGTATTGTTCTCATTATTTCACTGATAAGGAGAAACTACCAGCATGGATGTATCTAGTAGAACACATCCCTCAGATCTGAAAGCATATTTAATATGGCAATAGTATTAGAAGGGCCAGTCTGTGAGGGATCCATGCTATCATAACCCATCAGTTCGGCACATTTTATTTGCTGCCTTGAACATCTCGAGTTTTTTACTTTATGGTCGGCATCTATAGAGAGGAAGGAGTTCTTTTCTGGAATATACATTTTATAAATACAGTTTAGCAGTGAACTCAAGCCACATTGAAAAGTGTTAACTTACTGATATAATGCTTCTCTGCTCAAGGAATCTAGTCAAATGCACAGGTAAATCTTTTAGCATTTCTTTATAAAGGCACAACTGAGTGATGTAGTGTGAAAGTATGAAATGTTAGCATGGTCACAAAGACCATTAGATTAACTATGCAATGCTTCATTGTTGGCTTAGTCTCATTGCATGCATGCAGTCCTATATTGTAACATTTGGTAACCATGATAGACTACATAAACAATAACATATGGTATGGTATTGGAATTGAGGTTTGATGTTCATGGTCTGATAGATACAACTTATTCATGTATTTGCTGAGATTTAATATCCCTGTTTGACATAGATATGAAAATAACCTGTAAGTTGAAAAAATAACTATTTTTTTTCTTTGGCCATGGTAAGGTTGAAGGAACCTTACAATACTCATTATAAGAACTAACACTTGATCCTCTCAGGCCATATTTTAGCTGCAAAAGAACCTATGTTGCAAGTTAATAAACTTTTAAAATAATATTTGCTAAGGGTAGATCAATGGTAGAATTTGTCATCCACTTTATTGAGAATGATGTGTCAGAATAACACGTAGAATATTAAAAAAAAGGTTATTAACCTGTCATTGGGATGCAAGGGTCATCTTTCTAATTAGATCAATCCAGCTCCTCCGGGACTCTTGCTGAATGCAATCAGATTAACAGATTAACACCCCACCTCCTGGGTTACGTAGAATATTGAAAGGCTGGTGACTATACGTCTGCATTAGAAATAAGACGAGGCATGTTTATCTTTAAATCTGATTGCACTCAGCAAGAGTCCTTGTATAGGTGGATCGATCTATGTAGAAAGATAGTTTAATTGGGTATGGGCCCTTAATAAATGGGTCCCTATTGTTACAAGACTGACTATGGTTAGGTTGCAAACAAGCTTATTACTATACACTGATGATGTTGTCGGGGAAAAAATCCTGTGAGCCATCTTATTTTATGAGTGAATGGATCCAAAGTTGAGGGGAGAGTCTATGTCACAACTGCAGTATTTTACCTTCCTTAAAGCTCTTCATTGACATGCAATCAAAGGCCAAAGGGCCAATAAGATATTAAACACATTAGCCTTGCCCAAGAGAAATTATTTATCAATTTGATTTTGCCTCTGAGAAATCATTCCAGGAAACATTATTCTCAGTTTTTACATGCAACCATGTGGCTTCAGGCAGGGAAAAGTTCATTGTACCCATGTCCCCATCCTTGTGCTGGCTAGAATGGATCATTTTTGCCAATCATTGGCCCAGGAATTTAATTGTCACAAATGAAAACCAAGCCTTTTGAGTAGCAGCTAATACACCAAGCTCTTGTGATCACAAATGTTGGTTGAAAAGTTTTTATTTGATTGGCAGGAGGAAAATATGTGCTAGCATGACACCTGAGTGTCAGTGTGTAGTGTGCAGCATGGGTTATTAGAGGAAATCATTCTTAAGAAGTCTCTCTTAAGAAATCTCTTGTTATTCTAATCAAATACATTCAAAAGGTTACAGCTATTCTTAGACTTTGACGAGAGTGTCTACATTGGTATTCATATTGCCTGGTATGTAACAGTCTTTGTTCTTGCCTTGGAATTAGCACTTGATAAATGAAGATGTGGGATACTGACCAGGCCAGTCCTACTGCGCTTCCTAATAAAGATATAATGAATGATACAGACATCTGGTGATAAGTGTTGTGTATTCCTAGAATTTCATTTAAACCTCATATTGTTAAATAATCATATTATATAATATGTATGTGTTAGTGCCAGTACACGGGCAGGTTTCATGCTACAAGCTAGATTTTTATTGAATTTTTTTTTCATCAAGCCCATTGATAAGGGAATATTAATAAAGAACACACTGATTAGGTACAAGATTTGATAATTAGGAAAAACGGCCAGTCTTTTAAGAACCTTGCATTCCCAGGTAAAAATTTATAATTAACAGAGTTTAGACATGATATATTTATGCCAATAGGTATATTTGTCAAAATGTTGGTGCCCAATTTATTTGAATGTTTAGAAAATTTAACATTCTAGTGGAATGGTGCTAATTGATCACAATATATGCTGTGTACGGATATTTATTTATCATCTATTTACCTTAAAATATATATTGATATATTTGAAAATATGACTCATAATAAGACAATGATATCCCTTTACTTTTATAGCCACTGAAGAACAAGACATCCAGGCAGTGTCAAGAGAGTCCATTCCAGTGGAAAAATTCCAAGAAGTGCTCAAGGAAAAGAAGAAACGGAACCTCTTAGAAATTGAATTTAAGGTAAGGTTTCTCTGCAAAACACCTGAGTTTTTTTCTTTGTCCTAGGGCTTTGATGCCAGCACTGAGCATTTGAAAATGTGTGAAATCTTGAGATTACTGGTCAGCAATTCCTTTTTCTTTGTTGTTAGTATATTGTTCAGTGTCTTTCCTTTTAATTTCCAACTTATTAAGAACATATCAAGGGAAAATATTATGGTTTCCCCCTCTCTCCTCACACATACACATACACATATATACATATTTTGTATTTGAAATATTAGAAACAAATGTGTGAATTCAGATACATAAAAACACTGCATTGAAAGAAGGGTGTTAACACAAGGAAAAGCCGTAAGTGTCAGTCATGTCTTCTAGTTGATTGACACTCATTCATTTAGCTCAAGGATATGTTTTCTTATAACATCTCTAGGGAAACATTATTTGAAAAAAAATCTTCGTAAAGGTTAATGTGTGCAGATGATTTCCAAGTGAGAGAATGCATGGTTTTAGAAAATAAAGAGCATAGGAACTTATCAAGGTCTTAGATTGTTTTAGGAGTTTGGCATCCACTGTAGTGAGACTCTTTCTCTCTCTCTCTTTCTCTCTTTCTCTCTCTCTCTCTCTCTCTCTGCAAAAACACAGCAGAGGAATTATTCAAGTTATGTTATTCATTATTAATCTCTCTAGATTAATAAGCCACTGTGATTGCAGTGTGTCTCTGTACCATATAGGCATTACTTACACAAACATGAAGATATTAGACTTGCATAAACAACCTGTGAGTTATGCATATTCTTTTCATAGTAAAAATTTTACCAACAGAGGTCCTTCTCTTTTTATCAAATACGGAAGCTAGCTTATTCCAAGTGTGGGTTGCATGAGTACCTACCGTGTATATTCCCTTTTGGCATTAGTGTCTGAGAAATCGAAATATAACATGCAACCATTCAAAGGCATTTTTCCTCCCCCCCCCCCCCTTCCCCACTAAGATGAACTTAAAAAGAAACAGTTGATAAAATCCATAATAAATGCATTTAACAAAGATTTGAGAATACTTATAATAATACTTATAATATAAAGTTTTGGAGCATGCAGGCATGGATTCAGATTTTTTTCTAAGGTATGGGCATTTAAGGGCAGTGGGAGAAGGTACATGGGAAGCCAATAGACTGGCTGTATTTCTCTCACTGAATCTGTGTATGTGCCTGCGTGTGCATGTACATGCATTTTTTTTTTTTTTACAAAAGCTGAGAGGAAGGAAGAGATATTCGCCATCAAAGATTCACTTTATTTTGGTAGCCTTGTGTTCATGTAATTTATTTTTAAGGTTTTGCCCTTTGTTTCTGCATGTGATAAGGGGATTACAATATTATAATAATGAATGCAGTAATGTTGTGAAAATACATCACAAATCATGTAATCTCCCTATGCTGAAGATGTGTAATACAGAAAAATACAGAAAAAAAAAAAGATTTTTTCTGATTGATTATTCCATATTAAACACTTGCATGATGGCAAATTAAATTTTGTTCCTTATTTTGCTGATGAGTAAAAAAAAAAGATCATATTANCATATAATGCTTCTCTGCTCAAGGAATCTAGTCAAATGCACAGGTAAATCTTTTAGCATTTCTTTATATAGGCACAACTGAGTGATGTAGTGTAAAAGTATGAAATGTTAGCATGGTCACAAAGACCATTAGATTAACTACGCAATGCTTCATTGTTGGCTTAGTCTCATTGCATGCATGCAGTCCTATATTGTAACATATGGTAACCATGATAGTCTACATAAACAATAACATATGGTATGGTATTGGAATTGAAGTTTGATGTTCATGGGCTGATAGATACAACTTATTCATGTATTTGCTGAGATTTAATATCCCTGTCTGACATAGATATGAAAATAACCAGTAAGTTGAAAAAATAACTATTTTTTCTTTGGCCATGGTTAGGTTGGAGGAACCTTACAATACTCATTATAAGAACTAATACTTGATACTCTCAGGCCATATTTTTAGCTGCAAAAGAACCTATGTTGCAAGTTAAACTTTTAAAATAATATTTGCTAAGGGTAGATCAATGGTAGAATTTGTCATCCACTTTATTGAGAATGATGTGTCAGAGTAACACGTAGAATATTAAAAAAAAGGTTATTAACCTGTCATTGGGATGCAAGGGTCATCTTTCTAATTAGATCAATCCAGCTCCTCCGGGACTCTTGCTGAATGCAATCAGATTAACAGATTAACACCCCACCTCCTGGGTTACGTAGAAAATTGAAAGGCTGGTGACTATACGTCTGCATTAGAAATAAGACGAGGCGTGTTTATCTGTAAATCTGATTGCACTCAGCAAGAGTCCTTGTATAGGTGGATCGATCTACGTAGAAAGATTAATATTGGGTATGGGCCCTTAATAAATGGGTCCCTATTGTTACAACACTGACTATGGTTAGGTTGCGAACAAGCTTATTACTATACACTGATGATGTTGTCGGGGAAAAAACCCTGTGAGCCATCTTATTTTATGAGTGAATGGATCCAAAGTTGAGGAGAGAGTCTATGTCACAACTGCAGTATTTTACCTTCCTTACAGCTCTTCATTGACATGCAATCAAAGGCCAAAGGGCCAATAAGATATTAAACACATTAGCCTTGCCCAAGAGAAATTATTTATCAATTTGATTTTGCCTCTGAGAAATCATTCCAGGAAACATTATTCTCAGTTTTTACATGCAACCATGTGGCTTCAGGCAGGGAAAAGTTCATTGTACCCATGTCCCCATCCTTGTGCTGGCTAGAATGGATCATTTTTGCCAATTATCAGGCCTACCCAACTACCAGACTCGGCACCAAATGATCCAGAATTCACCGGTAGATCCGACCACACTACCCGTTTTCAAGGTGTGTGTCAGATCGCATTACACAGTATCATACCCTGAACAAATTTTGAGTGGTGATGCAATGCTTTTCAACCCCGCTGAGAATCGTCACTATCACCTCGCGTACTAGGCAAGAGCGGTCTTGCGTCTGATACTGTGTAATGCGATCTGACACACACCTTGAAAACGGGTAGTGTGGTCTGATCTACCGGTGAATTCTGGATCATTCAGTGCTGAGTCTGGTAGTTGGGTAGGCCTGATCATTGGCCCAGGAATTTAATTGTCACAAATGGAAACCAAGCCTTTTGAGTAGCAGCTAATACACCAAGCTCTTGTGATCACAAACGTTGGTTGAAAAGTTTTTATTTGATTGGCAGGAGGAAAATATGTGCTAGCATGACACCTGAGTGTCAGTGTGTAGTGTGCAGCATGGGTTATTAGAGGAAATCATTCTTAAGAAGTCTCTCTTAAGAAATCTCTTGTTATTCTAATCAAATACATTCAAAAGGTTACAGCTATTCTTAGACTTTGACGAGAGTGTCTACATTGGTATTCATATTGCCTGGTATGTAACAGTCTTTGTTCTTGCCTTGGAATTAGCACTTGATAAATGAAGATGTGGGATACTGACCAGGCCAGTCCTACTGCGCTTCCTAATAAAGATATAATGAATGATACAGACATCTGGTGATAAGTGTTGTGTATTCCTAGAATTTCATTTAAACCTCATATTGTTAAATAATCATATTATATAATATGTATGTGTTAGTGCCAGTACACGGACAGATTTCATGCTACAAGCTAGATTTTTATTGAATTTTTTTTTCATCAAGCCCATTGATAAGGGAATATTAATAAAGAACACACTGATTATGTACAAGATTTGATAATTAGGAAAAACGGCCAGTCTTTTAAGAACCTTGCATTCCCAGGTAAAAATTTATAATTAACAGAGTTTAGACATGATATATTTATGCCAATAGGTATATTTGTCAAAATGTTGGTGCCCAATTTATTTGAATGTTTAGAAAATTTAACATTCTAGTGGAATGGTGCTAATTGATCACAATATATGCTGTGTACGGATATTTATTTATCATCTATTTACCTTAAAATATATATTGATATATTTGAAAATATGACTCATAATGAGACAATGATATCCCTTTACTTTTATAGCCACTGAAGAACAAGACATCCAGGCAGTGTCAAGAGAGTCCATTCCAGTGGAAAAATTCCAAGAAGTGCTCAAAGAAAAGAAGAAACGGAACCTCTTAGAAATTGAATTTAAGGTAAGGTTTCTCTGCAAAACACCTGAGTTTTTTTCTTTGTCCTAGGGCTTTGATGCCAGCACTGAGCATTTGAAAATGTGTGAAATCTTGAGATTACTGGTCAGCAATTCCTTTCTCATTGTTGTTAGTATATTGTTCAGTGTCTTTCCTTTTAATTTCCAACTTATTTAGAACATATCAAGGGAAAATATTATGGTTTCCCCCTCTCTCCTCACACATACACATACACATATATACATATTTTGTATTTGAAATATTAGAAACAAATGCGTGAATTCAGATACATAAAAACACTGCATTGAAAGAAGGGTGTTAACACAAGGAAAAGCCGTAAGTGTCAGTCATGTCTTCTAGTTGATTGACACTCATTCATTTAGCTCAAGGATGTTTCTTATAACATCTCTAGGGAAACATTATTTGAAAAAAAATCTTCGTAAAGGTTAATGTGTGCAGATGATTTCCAAGTGAGAGAATGCATGGTTTTAGAAAATAAAGAGCATAGGAACTTATCAAGGTCTTGGATTATTTTAGGAGTTTGGCATCCACTGTAGTGAGACTCTTTTTCTCTCTCTCTTTCTCTCTCTCTCTCTGCAAAAACACAGCAGAGGAATTATTCAAGTTATGTTATTCATTATTAATCTCTCTAGATTAATAAGCCACTGTGATTGCACTGTGTCTCTGTACCATATAGGCATTACTTACACAAACATGAAGATATTAGACTTGCATAAACAACCTGTGAGTTGCATGTGCATATTCTTTTCATAGTAAAAATTTTACCAACAGAGGTCCTTCTCTTTTTATCAAATACGGAAGCTAGCTTATTCCAAGTGTGGGTTGCA